AGCACGTGACAGACCAGGCACATTTTGCCAGCTCAATAAACCGCCGACAGATTCATGTCAGTTGTGACGCGAGCGAAAGGCGGTCTTTGATTGGTTAGCTCAAGGCCACCCAGTCCACCAACGCGAGGAAAGGTAAATGACACGTGTGCATAAAAACACCTGCCCCGTTGGCTTAAGCGGCAACCTCTCGCGCGCGAAAGCCGCACTGGTGCGTGTGTGTCTGCCTACTAATTGTAAATAAATAGCAATTCATACGACCACAAGCAAACACCACGAATGGCTGAGTCCAATTCCGACACAGCCAATTGCCTTGACCACAGAGGAACTCCCTACAAAGTCGAAATGTGCTCACAGTCGAGGTCGCTGCCGATTGGTGGTCACAAAATTGAGGGAGTTTTTTAGCGATGGGTTTGCGCGAAGCAGGTAATGAGGGCGTGTGTTGATGGGAAATGAATTGGCGCACGTCAGAGTTGCGTTTTACCAAAGCTCAACAGACAAGCGAGCACGCCAAACGGGGCATGATAACGCCAGACACCTCAAAAGGCGCCATCCTTTCTCCCAAACATAACACATGCTACGACAAAAACCCACATCCAGTATTTGCAATTGGCAAGTGAATCTGTTCGACTGCGCTACGTGGCTTGGCGCAGGTCGCTCGAGGCGTAGGTTAGGACGGTCTTGAGGCAGCAAACGTGGAGTGATTAACAAAACGTTGCAGGACACCACCACCACCACCACCGACGCCAAATTGGCGAAGCCTGGCGCAATTAATGGTGCCCACTTTTGAAAGAAAACGGTCTTACATGCATACACACACACACACTAGTACAGTTTACACGAATTCCGTTCGATATTGCCGCAACCGAGGCTGCCATCGCTACTATTAACTAACTCACAGCAAGCACCTCTTGTGCGCACGACTTGTTCTTCGCGTACGCGCGTAAACACGCGTTCCACATTCTGTGGGTTGAAGTTGATTGGTCTCCCTGGTTGGTACGTGTGGAATACACGAGTATAAAACAGGATGCGAGATTCTGCAACGCATTCTGTGTGTGTGCGTGTGTGGCAAAATTTGAGCACAGGTAGCAGCAACGGCGCTGGAAGTGGCGTCGCAGGCAAATCCGGTTTCGAGGCAAATAGTGGTCTTAGATATCATTTGAGTTGCTTGTTAGTAGTGGTAAAAACAGATTAAGTTGAAGAAATACCACTTCTGAATCAACAAAGCAGAATTCGGACTTCAGAACTAACAGCTGACTGCTGCGTTTGGAAAGGTGTGCCGTAAGGAATTGACATGGGAGCTAATCCACAAACCTCGACACTCTATTGGGCTAGTCCAACTCCTTTTTGCAAACCGACATCTTGTGCAAGGTTTGAACAAAAAAGCACAAACGTCTGCAACGAAATCGACCTTGGAGGAGATAGTGGTGGAGGTTATTCGAAATAAAAAAACCTCAATAAGAGTTCTGTCGCACCTTCAACGCAACTTCTGCAAACGAATATTTGAGGCGTCGAACCACCGTCTTCGAGCTTAGAACACGTTGGAGAGGATAGTTACGGGTCCAGTGAAGGGATCACCAAGTAGAACCCCCAGTTTTACTGTCAGCGTGCATCGAGGACGGAAAAATCGGCCAGTCTTACCGCAGGCTAAAGCCAACAATTTCCGCGGGACTCTGTCGAACGAGGGCGTTGAAATGCCTGGAGTTGAATCCCGTCGGGCTTCAACTCCAGGAAATTTCGCACTCTACACAACTCCCTTCTTGCTCATATACGTGTTTTCGCGCATTTGGGAAGGGTGATGCCAACAGGTGTGAAAGCAGTAAATTCCACCTCTGACGAGCAAGGGAGTCAAACACAACCCAACCGTCAACCGCAATGCGGGATACGAGCGAGAGGAGCGACTTGTCAAGTGCATCCCGCCCTGACGGTGTTTACGTTACCGGCTTTGTTGCGATTAGCAACACACTGAAAAATCCTGCTTTTGGCATTAGAAAGAAAAATGTGAGAAAGGACTGGCGATCACACTGCAAACTGTTCACTCTGCGAAAACTTGAGACACACACACACACACACTTCACCTAAGTTACACCACGTGACCAATAGACAAGAAAGTGTGATGCAAGCAGCATATACCGACTATTGACGATATCCAATGGCGTAAGAAGTGAGTAAACGCACTTGATTTGGAGATTCGACAGAAATTGTCACAAGTGGACAAAGTTACGCGTGAAAAAAGTGGATTTAGTGGTGGCATTCGGCGTGATTATCTTCGAAGCAACCAGTGTAAGTAGAGGATGCATCGTGCGGACACAAAAAACACAGTCGCCAGAGCAGTTGACGTGGACGACGACGACTCAGTCTTCCTGGGAGGAATAAGTGTAACACTCCAGCATTTCCCTCAAAGTACAAGAAGTCAAAGTGTGGTCAAAAGACTTGTAACGGATAGGAAGACGCGGGTCAGAGAGCGACAAAAATTGCGCCAAAAATAATGAAACGATACTCACGACATTGACGTCGCCAGCACAACCTGTGACTGAGCTCTGGTGACGAGCTGATAAGTCGACGGGATTCGAGCCAGTGTCTTTCAGCGCGACTGGGGAGGTCTTAACGGGACCTGTGATATTCCCCGAGGGGGCAATTGGGTGAGGAGGAAGGGCCTACAAGGTGACAAGAAGTTGCTTTAGCATATCAGGTCTCTGCCAAAACACCCGCTAAAGGCAGGGGAATGGCCTATGGGAGCGGATCGTGGGCGTTAGAGACAAACGAAGGACTATTTATGATGTGGTAAAACAAGAGAGGGGCGACAAATGCCTATTGTGGAGCCAAAGTAAATTGTGGCTTAAACGTGCATATTGTTCTTTAGTAAAGTACATCGTGCAAGACGTACTGGGAAAGTGAAGTCGGTGGTATCGAGTGTCGCCGAAAACGGTGGGAAACATACAGTGTGTTTGCTAGCTGGAAAAAGAGCGTATTCGAAAGGCGAATAGGCTGGTCGGAGAGGAGTCACACGCGTCTGACTAACTAATTCAATTTAGACTTGGATGCGGGCAGCAATCTTTTGAGTCTTACGACCATAAATAACCGCTCGTGAGAAGCAGGACCAGCGAGGACTTGTGATTGGTCTCGCTAGACAAGATCGTGTGTACCTATCCACTTCGCGCTTTGGCAGATCGGCCAGAAGCAGGCCCGGAAGTTACGCGGGCAGAATGATTTCCTGCATATTTTGGATAAAAATTGCCGGTGGCCAACGTTGATTGCGTCTCCGTCCACTTTAATTCACCCTCCTTTTTTGTACACAGCTTCTTGGAAGCCAAGTTAGGCGCTGTCACCACGAGTAAGTCGAGCTGGAGAATCTTAGAGGCGTGTGCAGTGATGTTAAAATGAAATAAAAAAAATTGACGCATCGTCACATGCACAAGCATATTGATTAGCATAAAAACGCCATGTGTGCGCCGTGATCTAATGCTTCAAGCAAGAGAACACGACGTGCCAGATCAAAACTGATCGTGGATACGACTCTGTAAGTACTGGTTTCCGCGTTTTAAGGGTGGGCAGATGACGGCGACTACAAGCAAGATCAAGAATGGCAATTTCAACGAGTCTGGTGGACTAGGCGGAGCTTCTTACTTCAGGAGGGTAAGGCACTTTGCCTAGGGGCAAAACTTTAGAAGACAAGAGGGTCAGGCAAAAATGGGGAAGAAAATATCTAGTAAATAACTATGCGGCTTACACTTCTACCTATGAGTTCATCACGAGACGTGGACCTCGTAGCATGACATGGGCTGGCGGCAGAAACCGTACTGGCAGACGACCCATTGTCCTAGTAAACGAGGACATCAAAAAACAAAAACGAGTTTCAGAACACTAAGTTAGCTTTAACGCGTCTTTCACTATGGACAGGTATCGCAGGCGATAAATGTAAGGTGGCACTGGTTAGGCAATTAAATATCAGTAAAACTATGTTGAGTTGTGAAGAAAATTTAAACATGATTTTTTTTAGTGATTTTAAAGCCGTGTGTTTCCAATTCAGACGCGTTTCACTACTCAAGTGCCAAATTATTCACCACCCCTAGAATTATGACGGCTTAATCGTTTATCTCGCCTTCCCATCGGAATACGTGGTTTGGCATTGTCAGAGCGTAAAGTAATGCCGATGTATTGGCCATACTTCCGCCTTGTTGTGAAAAAATACGACATTTAATCACGACAGACTAACAAAATGAGTTAAAAAACTGTTTCTGAAATTGCTTTGGCCATAAGCTATCTCCAGTGGCGTCATGGTCACACACAATCACACACATTTCACCACAAGTAACGGCGTATTTAAGAAAAGACTCGTTTTTACCGTGTCTAGGTAGTAAATAGTAGGTAAATTAAAGCCATCGAATAGATTTCTAGGTCCAATTTTCAAGTATCCTCGTAGACTGTAATTAAAACTACAACGACACGGCTGTAGTGATGCAAATTGGCTTTCGCCGATAAAATTCCATTTGAATCATAAAAGAGCATCCAGGCTAGATAAAATAAAAAGCAACAATTGGGGATATTCACTAGTTAACGTACAGGCAGAATTACGGGAAACTCTAATACTTGACAACCACAGCAAATGTTGTCAAAGTGACAATTTGAAAGCATGGTTTATAGTCGAAGATTATTTATGCTTGCTTGAAATGGGTGAAGATCTGAAAAAATAATATTCCGCTGGGAAAAGTAGGACAAATTAATATTGCAGATCCATGTAGAAAATTCAGTACAAAGACACTCAACTGCAAAGAAAATTACGCAAGAAGTACAAACAGATTTTGTCGAGTTTTTCTATTCGTGTTTTAAAAGTAAAGTATGATACGAATACGAAATAATAACGAAAATCACGTACACTCGAGTACACGCAGCTGTCATGTGAATGCGCGGTAACGGTAACATGCGAAAACTGAAAAGGAAATAAGTTGTTTTACAAGAAAAAAAGAGTCAGCTACCGAAAATGACTTACTGGAGAAGGATATGAACAATGCGCATGTATCGAGTTCACGTTTGGAGGATTAAGCGTGGTTGGAGTAGGGTTATTAAGAAAAGAACACGCAGAACCCTATAAAAAAGCATAGGAGTAAAAAAATCGAGTAATTAGTGGCACGCAAATTATTTGTGGGAAAAGTAAAATTAAAAATACGTTAAACATACACTCATCTCCAAGCATATAAAATTTATTTGCGTTATCTTACGCTACATAAACGACCTAGAAAAGCTGACCACTTTGTAAAAAGCGGTGAGAAAACGATGCGATGAATTATGGCTCCAATATTTACTAAAGTTGCATATTTGTGCAATCTCAAAATTGTTGACTAAAAAATTATATGGTAGAAAGGCCGCTTGACTTTAATGGAGACCATTATCATGGGCTAGCTAGTTGTAGCAAATTGATTTTTAAAGCGATTTTTCAAAAACCGCGAAACAGCTAAGAGGTTTAAGCTTCAGAACGTACGTAAAGAGGAACAGTGTTATGATTTGTAGGAGCAACTGGAGAGTGTGGGACGTTGAGGATGACTGGCTGATAGGGAGAATGAACGTCAGGTTCCTTTTTGACGTTAGAAACCAAGAAGTTAGTGTTATTTTTGTTCCTTGTATGACTCTGTGACGCCATTTATTGGTAAGCAACTAAAACAATACGTACTTAGGAAACGAAACTTCATTTATAGAAAAGAATAAAAGGAATCACACGCGCTAACCTGTAACACACATGTTTATTTACCAAATCAACGCCTTCTTATCAGTACATTAAAACGATACAAGCTTTAAGAAACTGTTATAATTAAATTAATCGAGCATTTGTGTGCAATGTATCATTGCAGCTCGTTAATAAAAATTTGCCTAAAATTGTCTAACTGTTCGATTAGGTTCCGTGCAATCAAAATCACATTTTAAAACAGATCTGACCTCTTAGTTTCTAATTTGAGTAAATTGGTTTTGTTCATTTCTTTATCTTTATTTGGAATTAGAGCTAATATGTTTGAGATTAGTGTTTGCACCTGCAGCTACCGATGGGTAAACAAATATTTCGAATATTTTAATCAAAAACTCTCCTGACACTTCTGAAAATGATGAATTGCATTTATTTACTTGAGGTATTCAATTTTATTTGATAAATGGCCAAAATCTATAATAATTAGATTTTGTGTAATATTTACTGACAAAGTGGTTTACTCTGTACATATATAAGATATCGAATGCCGATATTTTCAGTTAAATAGTCAGTGGCTGCATTCAAATCTTAAATCAGTGTTTCAAACCTTTTTTCGGTTACGATACTCTATCCACTCCAATTCTTCGTTTTCTGACATTTTTTGATGTTTACAAGAGAAACGCTAATCAGGGATTTAGAATCAACTTACTAGTGCCGGTTGGCTTTAAAATATTGCATAATCGATGGTATCTATGGCCAATTAAGCAGATTTGCTTTTGGCGAATCATTTAAAGGCCACCTGTTCGTGTCTCTAAGCATTTTTAACTTTTAAAGAAGGCACAGATTTGTAGGGCAGCTCTCTTCATCGAGTTCAATAATCTCCAATAAGTCATATAGCCTGCATTTCTTGTCCGCGTAACATTTCCAGCTACAAGAAATCTAAACATTTTGAGATATCGGATCTTTTGTGCTTGTGTAGCATATTTTACAGTAATTTTGCTTAGTTGTGTTAATGGCTCATGGATAATCTGTCACTTTTTCTTACTCAAAATTAGTGTCTAAATTCATCACATAATGAGATAATTATGCGAATAAAAAATGCATAAGTTAATTCAAGGCATGAATGGTGGTTCCGTTTTCAGGAAATTAAGTGTTCATGTAATCAAATGCCTGAAATGCCCCAAATTTACAGCATTGACCGCAAATTTGCTTAGCGAATGCAGTACTAACGCAAGATTGAAATGTCCATTAAGCAGTAACCTTTTTTTAGATCAAATAAGCTGATTTTTAACAGTAACATTCGGCGTTAATAGGTGGAATTAATTCAGGATTAACTAAGATTGTTATGCGGGACCGTGGAAGCATCATTTCCGCTTATGTGAATTCAATTTGCCGAAGGAAACTGAAAACCACTCACATAACACCTATTCGATTTGAAAAAAAGCACCTTACAATAAAGATTTTGCAGGACGTATGAAGTGAAATATTCACGTGTGTAACATTCCACAAATCAAATTTTGATGGAATACCATTTAATCACTCCTTTAAGTTACATGTAATTTGCATTACTTATTTGAACACCATGAATTTATTCCGCTTTTATCATTTCATTGCTATTATTCCGGTAACTCTTACCAAGTCCCAGTTACCACTTTCCTTCATACGTGACTAACTCATGCAATTTTTATCAATCTTACACTTAGTCCCCTATAATTTGGTTTATTATCGCTTATTATTATGGCTGGTCATTCGTAAAATCAGGCCGTAAGTGTCAAAAGCGTGATGCGCATGTCATTGGTGAGTGAACATAAAGCATTAGCTGTTGTTGAACATGCAGGGATGGGCACAGCGTGAGTTTGTAGCAGATTGACAGCGATCGCGCCTGAGTGAACCTTGGTTACTGACCTGACGGTGACAATGACTCATCCCCTTTTCATTGGCTACTGTTATCAGATGCCTGTCATCCGTTCACTCATCCACACAATACGACACACTTGACTAGCGTGACGCTAATAAACGGTCGTGTTCTCTTTCGCCTCCCTTCTCTTCATTCTCGGGTTGTTTTGGGTTGTTAACTAGAGGATTGTAAGGTAGTGCTAGACCCTGGCCACTACAAGTTGAGGTTCTTCCATGTCTGTCGGCGTTACTAAGCGCAATTCACAACACCCCCCATTTGACGTCTGCTACAAAGAATCATGCAAGTTAACCATCTTATGTGGGGCTAATAAGTCATTGGAACGGTACCTTGGTTGACGTCCCCCATCACATCCATTAAGATTCACTACACCTATATTAGGGACACTACACCATAGTCAACTTAATGACCTGTCACAGTGAGATATATGGCTCTCGCAATTGCAGTTGTTTTCTTAGTGATTCCTAATGACTCACGTCCATGAACTGCGGCCACTTTTTCCAGATCATTCAGACGTGCCTGATCATGCACATCTGTGCAAATACCCCCTTTTTCACTCATGACACATCCCTCATCTTGCGGATGCTGGTATATTAACTAGTTATTGGTTGTGGACCCCCACCACTCACACCTCACCTGTCCTTGACTTTGTCTGCACAATTGAGCCAACAATCAATTTTCGTCTGACGTAGTCTTCGGTCTTATCAACTTTACCGGGTATCCGAATAGCGTGATCCGATCAATACAACGCGGCCTTTAGGCGCGTTTACTCCAACATGATCCGATCCACCCAATAGGCCCTGAATTGGCACATAAGGACGACGTATCCAGAAGGTGTTGTCTGGTTTGGCAAAGCGGATGGTCTGAGTTCGCAATCCAGCCATGCGCCTTGTTAGCTCATAATCTCCACCATGGTTTACACTTGACCGCCCACGGTGTTTATTCACTCCCTCGGATCCCTACTAACCTCCTTTGATCATGCGTGTAAATACTCAGTAAGAGTGTGATCCTCCGTCCTAATAGCTCTTCTCATTATTATTCGAAGGTAACATAAATTGTACAATTGAAACGTGGGCTATGGATTCAGGGATAATAAGAGAAGCCGATTGGCGGCGGATCATTTGAACGCGATCAAGCGAAAGGCTGCATTACAGGTTGCAAACTGGCCTGACGATGGCGGAGGTAATCATCGGGCAGTGAGAAGAGAGTTTGATAGGGCTTGTAACAGCTAACAGCGGGGTTCGCAAGAAGTTGACGAGGGGGTTTGATTTCAAACAGGAGCGTGCACATCGCAATGTTAGGAGGTCTTGTCATTCCCAACAACCACGCCAGTAGCAGAAGAAACGAGTAAAATTTGATTGGAACTAGAATGGAAACACGGTCGTGGAGAGAATACTTGCAAATCTAGTGGAAGACGTGAATTACGTGCACCAACCGACAATGATGTGAAATCGGGCCAATAAGTGGTTGTCTGGCTAGTCGAGTCTTCTTTGACACGCTTTTCTTTTCAATGGAGTTTTGTCAGTGTCAACGAACGTTGAGATTTTACAGGAACTGCAGCTAACAGAACTACGGGGTGAGTGGAAGCTAGTTTGTAGCAACAATTCAAGGTCAGATTTTCCAAAAAAAGCGCAGAAAACAATAAAACGCTCTGGTTGGAGTGTGAGTCTTATGATATCTTATGAGATGCCAATTTGAAAAATTGGCCAATCACCCTGCTGATCCAAAGTTCCCAGGTGGGAAGTTGGCAACCACGTCTACCTTCTAAATGCCTGAAATCCTTAGGTATCTCTTGGATGCCACATGGGCTGTGCAAGAACAGCCACAACTAATGAGATTCGCTTGACCACAACTGGTTGTCGCCTGGTTTTCCACCACCACACCGAGGCTCATTTCTGGTTTTGACCAATTTCGGAATGATAGCTTTTATACCGAAACAGTGCGTCGGATATTGCAAACACCTTGACAAACGCAACGACAATTTGAGTGAATTCGTTAGCGCTTGTTTATGCAAAAAACGGCTTGGCATGGTTCGCAGACGTAGACGAAGTACTTTTGGCAGCCAATTGTGTAAACAAGTTGAAAAGTCCACTGGTTGCTTGGTACGGCACATCTCACCAAACCACCGATTGACCCAGACACTTGGGAGGTGATTCCTGGCATTTTCAGACTATGCATCCCTGTGAGGGCTACTGGGTGTGCTGTTATTCTAGCAACGTAAACGAACCCGCCATCGACCTTGGTTTTTGCTGTCTGTTGTGTTAAATGTGCCTGACCTTGGTAATGGCCTTGTGCCACGCCGAAGCCTCATGACTCAAGCGCTCGTCGTTTGCACCGGAGATCAGAAGTTGCACTTTTACATTGCTGCAGCACTTTCAACCAATCGCGAGTCGCCATTCACATGAAAGTTTACTCGAAGCGAAGGGGTCGCGTGCATTGTGTGAAACGCCCGCCCAGCGTTATTGGCTCCCACTCGGTAGCTTGACAAAACAAGCGAGATTGCACAGGCAGGCGTCAATCAGGCGCAGCAGATACAAAAACAAGGAAGTTGTTCGTGTTCATTATTATTTACGATCTCACAGGCAGTGCTACTAACTACATCTAACTGACCTTGGCCTTGTCAACTTGTTCTCAACTGAGAAAATCGATCCGAGGCGTGATGCGGCCAGTTTTCACCTGAAACCATGCCATGTTTTCAGTTGAATTTACGCAAAGATTGCAAGGAGGATTGCTTAAACACCATAAGATGCTCAAAATCCAACGATTGGTTAAATTGCTCGACGTTTTAGAAGACCGGTTCATCGCTTTTGGAAGTGTGCTGTTTCCCAATGTAATGCATCCCTATGCATGCCTCGTCTCTGTAGCAATGCAATTCCTCAGAGCTAACCGCGATGGACTTGGCTACAGATTGACGGAAAGTGGTGCACACTCGGTTAGCTGCAGTATGTCCGGAATCCCCTCATGTGGGTAATTCGCACAATTCCCAAAATTCAGCCTTTTTGAAACCACCGACTATTGAATTAAGTTTTAATCTGGGGCTGACACTAACGTGTCACTTTGAAAAAACAAATCGTCATGTTGGCTGGGCAGTCGCGGTAGGCGACTTTTGGGGGACCGGCGCACGAACACGAAGCCGCGTGAGCAGCCAATCCAACTTGACTGTCTGAAGTGAGTCACCAGTTTACCCCGCATTGGGAAGGTGACACACGAGAGATGAGTCATCGCTAGCCCAAACTCAGGACAGGACTTCGTGCGACTGCCTCCACCGCCTGTGTCAAGGGCCGAGTTCTCATCCAGGTGCGCCCAATTATTTGTGGCCAGGGTGGCTGGGATGAATAATACACCTCGGAGTGTATGGACCAATAGGAGATGGGCGGGCGAAATGAGCAGAACTGGTGGTGTGCATGAGGTAATCGAAAAAAAAGGAATGGACAGTGTATCGTCAAAGGGCTTAAAACTTATGCTCCCGGGATGTTGAATCGTTATTAGAATTCTTTCGAATCTGCAAATTTTTCGTGTCGACATAATTACAAAACGAATAGTGTTATTTCAAGGCAAAATTCGCCTTAATATCGCTTTGAAATACGTTGAACTTTGTGACTTGCACGGAGGACGCATTCCTCTGGATAGTGATCTGAATATTGCAACAAGCACGCGCACGTAGACATCTTCCTGGCACAATTTCCAAATGTCACCGTGATATATGTGTGAAAGTAGATCGACAGTGTGTTTATGCGGCAACGCAAAACCGGGTACTCGATACACCCATTTTGTCTCTTATTATTACCCCCGCCACTTATGAAACAAACGATCTCAAATGGTGGATTTTGAAGTAAAAGCATGCACATAGGACCCAAATCCAAGGACACGCATTTTCTCAACTGTTCGTGGTCAACTTGATTACACTAGTACTACTAGCAAACTTACAGTAACGTAAAAAATTGGTTGGCCAAATTAGCGCGTCTTTTTCAAAGATCCTGCCTGGCATACATCAAGCACTGGAACACACACCTTGGATAAAATTTTCCATCTAATGGCCTTCCAAGTGCACCTAATGGCATTGTGCGCCTGTCTGGCACATGGTCGACCGTTAGTAAACTGCCAAGTGGCATCTGGGTTTGTGGGTTTATTCCACTGAAACACATTCTATCAGTGGAATAATTGCACAGGAATTCCAGACTTCATGTCAGGAGCCCCCACTGAAGTCGTTTCACACAAAACATCTCATTCCCACATGCGACGGTCTACTTGCAGGATTCTTTGTAACAGACGTCAGGTGGAGATTGTTGTGCATGGTGTTTAGTAACGCCGTCAGTCATAGGGGAACCTCAACTCATAATGGTTTAGCGCAGGTGGTTGTCGTGGATTATCCCTAGGGGAAACAACCAATCACCCCAGGTTTCGGTGTCAGCACACCTATGAATCATGCTATTTCACATTTCTGAACTAGAAATACGCACGACTCAACGACAGCAGCTTGGTTGAGCTGTCCGGTTGACGGTTGCCTCCGCCGTCCACGACCTTCTGGATCTTCGCGGTCATCGGAGTAGCTTAAACGGCGTGGTTTGAGATCAAAACAGAATAATGACACACTGATGAGTGTTCAGACGTGTCCACGCATTGAATGTGAACACGGAGAACGATGCGGGGATAGTGGAGTGGACTGGCACGAGTTCTGTCGGTGAATTATCACGGTAGGCTCCATTTCCACCGTCCAGGGCAAATACCAGCGTCCACTTCAGGACGCCAGTAAGACGGGCAAATACCTTCCCCGGATTTTCGATCAAGCAAAAGTCTTGTCAACGAAACAGCCTACTTCAGATTGGCCGTGACGCTAGTCTAGCAAACACACTCCAACAACCAACGCGCAAATTCTGTGTCCAACGCGAGCACACCTTGACAGGTCGGGACAATCACGTAACCGTATGATGAGTGACCTTGACCTGATGGCGAAATTAGCGAGGTTGTGTAAACAGTGGCAGTCTTGAAGAATACCAACCCCTCCGCCAGAGAATTCCAATGCATGTTCACCATTTCCCAGCGTTCCTGCTGTAGCTTGGAAAAAGGCTTTATCCGACCAATGGCAGGTGACATTTTTATCCAATAAGGAGTTATGCGAACTGATTCGCATTCATTCGCTTGAGGGTGCATATCGAAATTATTGGGTCATTTAAATCTCTTAACATGCTGTATCCACTTGGCTACCCACCGTTAAAAGCCACGTTCTTAGTATGCGGTATAATTTTTATGACGAATTTAACAACAGATCTGATTTTGAATGCAAGAAATAAATTATTTATGCGGGTTGTGAGTGGTGGTAGAGTTAGTCGTGTGAGGAACCCTCCTGAGTAGAATCGATGTCTTCCTGCATGTCCTCCTCGATCACCTCGCTTTCCTTCCTGCTTAGTACCTCGGCCACCTAAAAATCACATTGATTGTTTGATTCAAAAAGAACGCTGTTAATCATTCAAACATTCAATTAATCATCGTTTCTTTTCCATGCAATTGCTTTCATATGCTGGTTTCACAATTCTTAATGGTTAAGAGTTAACAATTTCGAAGTTATCTGGCAGCTTCATATAGTCAAATCAACCTCGGAGTAGCTATATTTAAAATTTATAACACTACAGACAGGCATTTACGCGAGTGGGAACTATGAGTGTGTGAGATTTTGGGTGTGAGTGTGCAAAAAAGACTTAAATGCACGCACTGGGAACTTGCGGTCGTAGTTGCGAGAAAACACCGATTTTCCTCACTAAATTGGGTGTACACACACTGGTCACACTAGATTTTCAACAATGCGGTTGCGAAAACGTAGACACAAATGAAGTATAGGTGAGGAAGGTGTGCAAGCATGACCTTAGCGCAAAGAAATCAGCGCGCTTGGATTACCCGACCACCACCACCACCACCACCATCACCACCACCACCACCACCACCACCACCACCACCACCACCACCACCACCACCA